TTTTCTGATGAGAAATTTGTGATTATTCTAATCATTTGTCCCCTATATGCAGTGATTTCTCATTCTTTGCCTGCTTACAACATTTATTTTTAGATTATTATGTGTTTGGAGATGGATTTGTTTGAGCTCAGCCTGTTTGTGGTTTGATAAGTTTGTTCTATATGTAAATTTAAGTCTTTTGCCAAATTTGGGAAGTTTTCAACTATTATTTGTTCAAATACTTTTTCTGCACTATACTATTTCTTTTCTTTTTCTGGAATTCTAATGACATGAATGTTAGACCTGTTGGTATTTTCTACAGGTTCTTGCGGCTCTGTTTATTTTATTTTTATTTTTTTCTGTTCAGCTTGAACAGAACTGTCTTTATGTTCACTGACTCTTTCTTCTCTCATCTCCATTCTGCTATTTATCCCATCCAGCATTTTTTCAGGTACTGTGTTTTTCAGTTCTAAAACGTCCATTTGGTTCTTTTTCATATCTTCTTTTTTCTCTGCTGAAACTGTCTATATTTCCATTTATTTCAAGTGTGCTCACCCATATTTCTTGGAACATGGTTATAACTGTCTTAAAGTCTGTCCAATAATTGTTTTCAAGTCTGTTCAAATTGAAATATGATTGTCTTTTCCCTTGTGAGAATTTGACACTTTCCTGGTTATTAATACATTAGGTAATTTTGGAACGTATCCTGAACATTTTTAAAAAATGTATATCTTTATTGATTTCAGAGAGAGGAAAGGAGAGGGGGAGAGAGAGATAGAAACATCAATGATGAGAGAGTCATTGATCAGCTGCCTCCTTCATGCCCCCGACTGGGGATCGAGCCCACAACCCAGGCAAAGGCATGTGCCCTGACTGGGAATCGAACCCTGATCGCCTGGATCCTAGGTTGATGCTCAACCGCTGAGCCACACCTGGCCAGGCTATCCTGAACATTTTGAATATTGTTATAATATGCTGGATCTTGTATAATCCTGCGGAGAATATTGATTTTTTTTTTTTTTTTTTT